TACGGAGGATGAGCTGGCCGGCATGGCTAGTGTCTAAACTGCCTCGGGCATTTGATATTATTGCATTTGCTAACTTGGATTCTATGCGGTGCCGTTTTTCAGACTGTTGGGCTATAACAAAAGTGTTACAAATACAATTTCTTGCTCTAAACTAACTTGCAATAGTGTCAGTTAAACCATGCTTTTGTTTGGGAAGTTGGGGTATGTCTACACTACCCCCCTAGTTCGAACTAGGGGGGTAATGTATGCATACCGAACTTGCTAATGAAGCCCGGGATTTGAATTTCCCGGGCTTCATTAGCATAAAGCCGGCGCCGCCATTTTTAAAAGCCGGCTAGTGCGAACCCCGTGCCGCGCGGCTACACGCGGCACGGACTAGATAGTTCAGATTAGGCTTCCTAATCCGAACTATCTGTACGCCTCGTGGAAATTCAAATCCCGGGCTTCATTAGCAAGTTCGGTATGCATACATTACCCCCCTAGTTCGAACTAGGGGGGTAGTGTAGACATACCCTGGGAAGGGCTGGAGGCCCCCTATTTCTAATGAAATGTCTACACAGCACATAGCTGTTTCAAATTTGGTGTTACTCTTCGTAGAATGAGGTTTACCAAATTTGAAATAAGGGCTCCACTATTTCAAATTTATTTTGAAATAGCGGTTTGCCTATATAGACGCTATTAAATTTAATTCGAAATAACTGCTTTTATTTCGAATTAACTTTGTAGTGTAGACATACCCTGAGAGGGATAAATACCAGGGAGGGAGAGGAATTATTTAAGCTTAATACCAATGTGGACACAGGAACAAATGGATATAAACTGGCTATTAGGAAGTTTAGACTCGAAATTAGACAAAGGTTTCTAACCATTAGATGAGTGAAGTTCCAAGGGAAGTAGTGGGGGCAAAAGACCTATCTGGCTTCAAGATAAAGCTAGATGGGTTTATGAAGGGGATGGTTTGATGGGATAACATGATCTTGGCAACTAATTGACCTTTCACTATCAGTGGTAAATAGGCCCATGGTGGGATGATATGAGTTACTATAGAGAACTTTTTCCTGGGTGTCTGGCTGGTGAGTCTTGCCCATGTGCTCAGGCTTCATCTGATTACTATATTTGGGGTCAGGGAAGGAATTTTCCTTCAGGGTAGATTGGCAGAGGCCCTGGAGGTTTTTCGCCTTCCTCTGTAGCATGAGGCACAGATCACTTGCTGGAGGATTCTCTGCATCTTGGGGTCCTTAAACCATTTGAGGGCTTCAATATCTGAGATATAGGTGAGAGGATTATTCTAGGAGAGGGTGGGTGAGATTCTGTGGCCTGGATTGTGCAGGGGGTCAGACTAGATGATCATAATGGTCCCTTCTGACCTTAAAGTCTATGAGTCACTTTGATGACAAAAAATTATTGTAAACCCATCTTAGTTCACCTGCTAAACTTTGTTGTCCATTCAGTGCAAAGCAGCCAGAGTGAACTAGTGAATTTGGCCCTAAAAGGTTAGCCCTTAAAGTTGTGAGGTGTATAAAATTCCAAACGTGAGTCTCGTGTAAACCAATGCTGTATTCTCTGCCCAAGTCTGTGCACAGATTGCCTTCAACAACAGCTTACTCTTATTCACCATAATGGGATGTTAACGTCAACTCATATTCTTCCCATTTATTTCGTTATTCGATTATGTGTATTATACATATGTTTAAATTCAAAGTAAAATATTTAATGTTGTAAAATTGGTCATTTCACTGGAAATACAGAGGAACTACATTTATTTAAATGTTTTAAATATAGCACATTGTATATGAAGCAGATTAATGGGATTCCATAGATTTTAAATATCCCCATTACAACCTATATACATGAATGTTACTTAAAAGCAAAACATGTGACTTATTTTCCTTCTTTTCAGGTGATCAGCCAATGGAGGGCTTCACCCTGCTTTGCAACTGTTTTGCCTCAATAAGAAATGCAGGATAGGGCTCAGAATTAGCTTCATTCCATTACCCTTGGTACTATGTGCTGAAAGCCCTACAAGGCTAAGAAGGGCTGGCAGCACATTAACAATTGAAAACTCACCTTTTGGTTTGTTTTAAGTGGCACAACCTCCAGCCCCACTCAGGTTTCTCCAGTATGACACCCCAGCATACACCTAGTGATGTCACATCAACCATGGAATTCTGCAGAAGCATGGAGCCAACCTATAGGTGGAGAGGGGTTGAGGTAAATTCCAGGCTTGCGTTGAATGTATTAATTTATTTAGCCATTTAGAATTGCTTTGTAAATTTGCTCTTTAAAGAACTATTTTATATCCCAAAGGGTGCATATTAATTAGAAGACCCCCACAGGCATGCTCCATCTTCCAGTGTGATTCATGGTAGATCTGAGGGTATCAGCATGGTGCATTTTGGGTATTGTCACATCAGAGCAATGGACAACTGTCAGTAATAGGGTCTAGTCATCCTGGGACTTAATAAAAAGGATCAGATTGTGATACCATTATCCCCTTTGAGTAATGTCTTGCTCATCAAATAATCTCTGGCAATCTTAGAAAAGTAAGTTAATACTCATTATGAGCAAGGGTATTACAAATTTGGACCCCAAAAAAGGTGCAATTTCAATTGATGTGCTGAATGGTCCTTCACCATTCCACTTAGGCTGCTACATATGTCGGAATGCTGTAAATTCCTTTTGCAAGTTTCCTGTTGATTACAGACTCTACTGTACAAGAAAGGACCACTAAGAGATGTTATAAATGGCTCATGATGCTGTTGAATTTAAATGGTTACAGCTCCCCAGCTATCACATTTTTTACATAGTAGCAGATGTCATGAAGAGGAGTGGTTATCAAGTATCTTAAAACAGAGGTCACCAACAAGTTGGTTTGCGGTAAGACACAATATAGTAATTCATTATACCTATAGATAGTTACATAGGACCTTTTTTCCAGAGATTCCAAAATTCTCTGCATACAGATGAAAAACAACAGGGACCACTTCTGTTACTAAAATTACCTTCTGGGGTAAAGAAAACACACACATACACACACACACTGACAGTTTAAGACAGAAAGTGAAGAATTATCTTTGTCCATTTCAGACCACTGAGGAGTTTTATTTAGGCAGATGTAATTACCCAAAATAGGATTTGGCCAGGAAAACAAGCACATAGAACACAACTTACTCGTAAATATGGCCTGAGACCTATTATAAATCTGCAAGACAATGAGTTTCTTCAAATCCCACTGAAGTCTCTGGAAGATGAGGATAATCAGGCTCTAAATAATCAATAGCATTTCTTGCTGCACCGACATTTTGCAGATAATTGATTTCAAACTTGTATTGGTTGTCTTACAAAAATAGCTGTCTTAGACTGTACATATGGCTATGTCCTATTGTTTTGTGAAATTATATGACTAGTGATGTAAATCTACAATGTCATCTTTGTAAAAGAAAATAGGACAATGTTGTTAAAAACCCAGAATTGTATTACTGTTGCTACTCTGAAATTATAAAGAAATGGACCAATAATACATATTTGGCAATAACAATGACATTGAGGTTTTGTTACTATTTTCCAGAATGTGCTTACCATGGTGATCCTGGTACAGGAGTAGATGCCACAGGCTTGTTGCCATTTGATGTACTGTCATCGTCATTTACTAGTTTTAAAGGGTGATGATCCTTGACATAGAAAGACAGAAAAAATAGTCAGCATGTGAAACTAATGCTCATGAGTGCTACTATTATGCAAACAACCTCATTTGTACTTGAGGAGGATTATTAAATCATCTTTATTCCATTAGAGGCCACATAAACAACCATCTACTTCTAAACCGGTGGGAAGAAGGGGGTTAGATTGGAAAGAATATAAACACTGCCCTATTTGGAATGTTATGTATGCAAAGCTGGAGAGATACAGTCTTCCATATAGCACAGGTGATAATTCGTTGAAACACTGTACAATTTTGCACATTTCACCATAAGTTATGTAGGGGGGAAGAGAGAGAGCGAGAGAGACACTCTGGCTACATCTAGACTGCAAGAGATCTTCCGGAAAAGCTTATTTCGAAAGAGAGCATCCACACAGCAAAAATGCAACAAAAAAGCGATGTGATTTTTCGAAAGAGAGGGTCCAGATTGATTGGAAATTAGCATAAAAGGCCACCCAGAACCACTTCAGGCAGAGCTTTAGGTCACTAGTTGCTTCCAAGTGCTTATGCCAGAGCCTTGCAGAGACACGTGCTTACAGACATTCCCTGGACAGCTGTTCCTCTGCTTCTGCTGCATGCTTGCTTACCTACCTCTTCAAGGGACAGCAAAGCTCTCATAGTACCTGCTGTGGTTGCCCTGCTTTTTTGGATGCCACAGCTTTTCTCTTGGTGCCATGGCACTGGAGCTGCCCTATCAAATGCAATGGCCTCACACGGCCATGCTGCAGTGTTTGCAGCACTTTGTGCCAGCTGCCTTCCTGGTCCTGACTGAGCTCAACCCTGAGCTCATTCTGGGGACCCGCTCGCTGGGTGTGGGAGCTACACTCTGGCAACCAAAACCACTGTGGAGAGGCATTTCTGGAGGCTGGACACCAGTTCCGACTGGTGGGACCGGCGGGTTCTGGAGCGATAGGACAATCAACAATGGCTCCAAAACTTCCATATGCAGAAGATCACCTTTTTGGAGTCACGTGCCTGGCTAACTCCTGTGCTCCGGAGACATGACACCCACATGCGGCCCACCATCCCCCTGGATAAGTGGGTCGCAATTGCCCTCTGGAAGCTCATCACCCCTGACAGCTACCAGTCGGTGGACAACCAGATTTGCATGAAGATGTCCACCATCGGGGCCTTCCTCAGGGAATGTCTACACTAGCCCCCTAGTTTGAACTTGGGAGGCTAATGTAGGCATTCGAAGTTGCAAATGAAGCCCGGGATTTAAATATCCCGGGCTTTATTTGCATCTTCCCATCTGGGCGCCATTTTTAAATCCCCTTAGTCTGAACTAACTGCCCATGGCTACACACGCCAGTCAGATGTTAACTCGAACTAAGGACTTAGTTTGAGTTAACGTCTGACTGCTGCGTGTAGCCGCGGGCAGTTAATTCAGACAAAGGGGCGAGGTGTAACAGTTAATTCGAACTAAGGACCTAGTTCGAATTAATGTTTAACTGCCGTGTGTAGCCGCGGGCAGTTAGTTCGGACTAGGGGGATTAAATAATGGATCCCGGACGAGAAGATGCAAATAAAGCCCGGGATATTTAAATCCCGGGGTTCATTTGCAACTTCGAATGCCTACATTAGCCTCCCTAGTTCGAACTAGGGGGCTAATATAGACATACCCATGAAGAGACCCCTGTGTGGGAGGTAAGAGCTATCTCTTTAAGAGACCTCTGTGTTGGAGGTAAGAGTGAGTTGAATGTTACTGTTGCTGGGCAGATTTAGCACTCCACACCCAGAAGCTTCTGGAGCTGGATATGGTAGTTTGGGGTCAGACTCCACGAGGAAGCAGGGAGGGCAGGTGCTTTTCTAAAGCCTTTTTGTTCTGGGAGA